TCTGCTAGGTCCAGGAAAGCCTGGCGCAGCAGGGTCGGGCTGTCGCCCAGCGCACAGCTTAGAGCTGAGGGCGGCTGCGGGGGCGGCTGCAGATAGGTGGGCACCGGCAGCCCGCCGGGGGTCCGCGGCGGCCAGAACATGCAGAAGGGCGGGTAGAAAGCGTCCTTGCGGCCCGTGGGCCAGAAGAGCCCAGACAGGCCTGTCTTGGGCGCCGCACCCCCGCCGCCTGCACCTCCTAGGGCTTCGGCCCCCGCGTCCTCCTTCTTGTGGCACAAACCAAAGGCGGCGGCCGCGGCCGGGAAAGTGTAAGGGTGCGGGAAGAGTCCCCCGCAGCCCGGGAACTTCTGCAACACGCCCCCGAACGAGCCCTTGCTGGGCACCGGGATGACAGGGTAGCTGCGCGGGCCTTTGGCGCCCGCCCCTGTCCCCACGCCGGCGCCTACCCCCGCAACGCAGCCGCTTCCCGCGCCGCCTCCACCTGCTCCAGCGCCGCCGGAGGCCGCGGCCACAGAAAGGCTGGCGGCAGCGGCCGAGAGGCTGGCGGCAGCCACTACTGCCGCCTCCTGCAGCGAGTCGTCGTCGTCGTCGAAGCGCGGCCGCTTGTGATGGGCGTGTGGCGCGCCTGCCAGCTCGGCCAGCGGCGGCGGCGGCGGCGGTGGTGGCGGCGGCGGCGCCCCCAGCAGGTGAGGGCCCAGCAGTCCTCCACCTCCGGCCACCGCAGCCGCGGCGGCTACGGCCGCAGCCTTAACCGAGCTGAGCGGATGGCAGGCCGGGTGCGCGCCGGGCTGGGGCAGCGCGCGCTTGCGGCTCCCGCCGTTGAACATGGCCTTCACGTCCTCCCAGGCGAAGACGAGCTCGTCCTGGGGACTCTTGTCTGTGAGCTTGAGATGGCGACGCCACGAGTTGAAGTTGGCGGCGTCGGGCTGCGTGTACTTGGCGTCAGGAGTTCGGTGGGAGTGGAAGATGAACTTGTTGGGCGAGAAGTACATGTTGCAGTAGCTGCACTTGATGCACTTGGCGCGCGAGCTGTTGTAGCGCGCGGGGATGAAGCTGCCTCGGCAGCCCCAGGCACACTCGTGCGACACATCAAAGGCGAAGTTGTCGGGCAGCTTGGGCGGCCGGTTTTCGCCCAGGAAAGACTTGCACAGGCGCTCGGCCTCACGCTTGGTGATCATGCCGCAGCGGCGGGAGGAGATGGGCATGGCCCCGGCGCGCCGCAGGATCTCTAGCTGTACCGGCGTGCACTGCACGCACGTGATGCCCAGCGCCACACGGCGGTTGTGGATCTCGTTGTAGCTGAAGTTCTTGAGGAGAGTGTTGGAGATCTGTGCCAGGCAAAGGCGCTCCTGCCCGTCGATCACCAACGACACGATGGGAATGCCATAGAGGATCACCTGGCCCACCTGGTTGGGTTTGAGGTTGGCGTGGCCCGGCCGCGGCTGGCTCAGCGCTTCGGGCTGGAAGGCGCTCGACGGCGACGCCAGCAGGATGTCGTTGGGCCCTGGCAGCGGGCTGGAAGCCATCTCCTCCGCCGCGGAATCCCGGGCCGAGCCCTCTGGCTCTGCTTTGGAGACTGGAAGGGAAAGAAGAAAGCGTTGACTTGAAACCTTTTCAGGCTAAAAGAGGAAAGATAGTTGGAGTCGCTAGTTGAAGCCTGATAACTTCCTTGCTTTGGTGAAGACATAATTATTAAGGTCCAAGGGACCAAGTTTTTGACACAAGACACTCATTTCTTTTAATTTTAAGGTCGCCCTTTAGAAATGCCACGAGGCAGATATTTGAAACTACTTGTCTTCTGTTCTAAACATGCAAAAGGAACTCGTTATGAGTCGAACGAATTCGGAGGCACTTAACAACAACAACAACAAAACAACAAAAGGCGTCAATTCCTGGTTTATAGACTTTTTCCGGACAAAATGTCATGCCCACTAGAAATGAGAAAGTTATATAAAACTAGTACCAATTAAAAAGTTAGGGAAAGGCGGGACCAGCCATAGAAACTCAAATGTAAAGAGAAGGACCATTATATTTACTTGAAAATAGACTGGTTTTGGTTAATTAACCTAAACCTTGTAAAAAGTTATTTTTGTGGTATCTGTGATCCTTGGGGGAAATTCACTAGTGGGTGAGAAACAGCTCATTAAAGCAAAACATACAGGCATCTCTCAACTTCATTCTCCTGGCCATTAGATATTTTCATATTGTAGTTAGATTTTTTTCTCTCTAATGAAGTAGAAAATTTTACAAAAACATTCACGACTGCACTAGAATAGAGCATTTCACTTCTAATTTTCCAGAAACAACCTACTTGCTGCACTAAGTCGGTGTGGCCCCAGTTAGGTGACTTAAAAAGATAAGGCAAGGTAATGAATGAGCTAATAACAACCGTGTGTTTCACTTAGAAAATGTGCAAAGAAACGAAGGCTTCTTAGAGATCTTTATTAGAGGGCTTTAAGAGACAAATTTAATTGTAATGGTAACCACCTTCTGTGACATTGGATTGTTTCTGCCCTAAGTCGGTATTTCTACATTTATGGAGGAAAAGGTGCTAGGCATATAGCGAATCTGTGGAATAGATGAACTATTTTTGTTGTTAAGTGCTGTCAACTATGGGAGCGTTGAAACCGTTAAGTTCCTGGTTAGGCCTATGGTAAAATCCCCAATTTCAACTTGGGTCAACAGGATACCACAGTGGGGGGCAAGATGCAGTGAGTTGAGAATACAGAAAAAGCAAGCAAAAATAAACCTTTGTGGCAATGCTGCTAAGTCAAAAGAAACGAAGTGACCCATTCTCTAGGAAAACAGCGACCTTTCCACCGCTCCTACGGAATCCTCTCAAGACCATGTTTTGCCTGAAAAATGACTTCTGCCCAGAGCATAGCCACTCCCCGCCAAAGTCCACTGAAGATGTTTGTTATTACATGGACTTTCAAAGGACACAGGACCTCACCCACTCACCCAAAAGGTCTTATCCTGCTTTCTCTGGACCCTGGCGAATTCTACCCTGAGGCCTTTGGCCGGCTGCCCTGTGGATTCTCAGCTCTCATTACGTTCCGCGGCCTCCACTAAGGAGGAACAAACCTCGACGCGGTCAAACGAGACGAGCGCCTGACTTGTCACTTCGGATGGATCAGAATCAATATTTCCAGGGTGTTAAATGGCAGTTCAAGGCACAGCGATAGTTGGGCCCTACACAATCAGCCCTAGCTTCGCCAAATGACCCTTCAATGCTCATTTGCCTCCCGCGAACAAGATTCTTATTATCTTAATCATATCTGGGAATAACGCGCACGCACTCTTGATCCGCAACCACCCTCGCAGCGAGCACTTCTGGGATCCGGCTCTGCGTTAGGGACAGGCAGGCAGCCTTCGCAGCGGGGCAGAACAGTATGCCCTCCATAGCATTCTCCACTCTCTCCCTGAACCTTCAGGGAAACTCCCGTTAGAGAAGACCAAATAAGAGGGTTTAGATAGGGCGATTTTTAAAAGGGGCTGAGGGGAGAGAGACAAAAGTTAGTTGAACTAAGAAAGGAAGGTGGCTAACTTCCATATCCGGCGCAAGAGCCAACGCCCCCCAACTTAACTCCCCTGGCCTCCAAACCAATCACTACCGTAAACTGCCCCTGCCCCCCAACCTAACCCATCACAGCTGGGGAATCTCAGATAGGGACCCGCGAGCTGGCTGCCTAGTCAGGTCCGAGCGGACGGTCCGGGCTGTACCTGGTAACCCTAGGTGTCTTTACGCTCGTGGCCGCCAGCCCATCTTCCGAGGGCGCTCGGAGGCGAAGCATCCAAGCGGGTCCTCGAATCCGGCGGGCTCCGGTAAAGATCCGAGCTCTCGTCGGCGCTAAGGGCGCTCAAACCTGGGCCAGGGGCAGAATGGCGACCTGATTTGCAAAGGGCCGTTCCCTTGACCGCAGAAAGTGTGGCCGCGCGACAATCCGCGGCAGGCGAGCCCCAGGTGGAGCGCAGTCTGACAGCGCCTTTCTCTATCTCTGAACTCGTGTCGGACCGAGGGGACGCCACCCAGCGGGCAGGGTGACGTCACCGTCTCCCTGACACTCCACATTAAAGGGCTGGCATGTTACAGAGAGGGAGGGGGAAAGCGCGAGCGTGAGCGAGCAGGATGGAGATTCTTTCTCAGCATGCACGAAAGCTACTACCTAACTAACCCGGGAATGACAACAAGCTCCCTAACCTCGAACGAAACGCAACAACGGTGCTGGAGCCGTAGATCTGAGTTAGCAGCGGAAGGCCGAACAGTCTGTGTGCACCCCAGAGACCTGGATCCGCGAAAGCCAGGATTTCAGAAGGATACAGCCTGTTATTGTCCCCTCCCCTCATCTCCTTGAACCACCCTCTCTCATGAATGATCCTTCTGGTAGGTCCAAATCAGTTGTCACTGTGCCTCGGAAGAGAGAACCCATAGTCAGCCTAGAGAATAGAATAGCTTCAGAGTCTCGTTTGAAACACTGTGAAATGAGAAAAAACGGCAGAAGTTTCTGCTTAGGGCGCCCAATCTGGAAACTTGGAGGGAAGCATGGAGTATGTGTCCCATTCCACACTGACATTTCCCTTTCAGGACAATCTACAGAGTCGCTGCAGCCTTCTCCAAAAGTGTACAATACAGGGCTCTCCAGTGAGTTTCTGCATGTATCACTCATCTTTCAACCGCATTCAAAATCCTTCTCGACTCCATTTTATAAGACCCATGCAGGCCGCCTCAGCTCAAGGAAAAGGTGGGGCGGGAGAGCATGGAGGCTCCCAACCTTGACCAGTGCCTGAGCCAATCCCCAATTCCTTCCCGAAAGTAAGTTTCCCAGGGACCAAGCCAGAGCAGGCCCTTAAAAGAAGTAACAGCCAGAATGAGAAAGAACCCTTTCCCAGAGCTTCCCCAAACACCACACACCCCAAATTGTCCTTATCCTCACACTTCCTAAGGGACCAGCTGTTAAGAATTAAAATGACCACCCACTAGTTTATATGGACTGGAAGGGATACCTATTTGGAGGGTACTCTAAAAAGGCTACCTACTGAGGCTGAGGGTGGGTAATCTTTTAGATGGTTCCCGTTACCATTTCTGGATTTTCAACTGCCGCCTAGTGAAACACAGGCTTAGAGTTGGACAACCACATTTTGGAAAGGATCAAACAGCCACCACTGAGCCCCGAAACCTAACCAGACTAGGCTAGAAAGTCAACAACAAACCTCCTCTAAATAAAGAGTAAAATTGTGAACTCTTAACGTCATCAAAGGTCTATCAAACTGAAGAGGGCCAGTGGAACAGAAATATGAGGCTTGTTTTTTAGGAGTTGCAGCTATTTTAAATTCATATCTCCAAACACAGCTTAAAAGCCATGAAAATGGGAACGTTTGTTTGGGCTTAAGTTTCAGATGACAGTGAAACAATCGGTCGCCTTTTACCTGCTTCCAAAGGTATTAGCGACGAAATTAGACTTCGTCCTAATGGACTGAGGTCTACAGAGGGTTCCCTCCCAGTGTCCCGCCAACCTCAGGTCCTAAAAAGAAGGAAAACTCACGCGTTATGCCAGTCCAGCCCATTTGCCAAAAGAGCGCCATTGTCATTCATAGATTCCTTTCTTCAGAAGGCCGAAGGTCTGGAGTCCTGGCGAAGGTTCCAGGCGAGCTTAGGTTCTTTTCGCCTTCCCCACCTCCTCCTTTCTGAGGTCAGGGGTTCCCACAAAACGACATCCCCTTTTGCTAGCCTCTGGGCTGCTAGAAAGAAAGCATGAGCCGAAAGGACAGACAGCCTGAGAATGGGGCGGATTTCAAGATTGAAAACGAGGAGAAACAAGAAGTCCTATCACCTCTCTTAATGTACCATAGGGAAAAGCCTGGGCGCTGCTGGGGAGGAGGCTCCGCAGGGTCTTCGTCTGTTATCGCGTGGTTCCCATCCTTGCTCCCTGAGACTCCTTCCCCTTACAGAGCCCCCCTCCCCTTTTAAAAAAGCATCTCCAAAATATCTTTCTTTGAAAAGAGAAACGGGCCGAATTCTTGCTTTTCCTTTTACCTTCAGGAATGGATTTACACTTGGGTGGTGCTTGGAGTCACCTGGTTACCTGGTTGTAAACACTTATACAGTACTTTGAGGACTTACTGTCATATAAGCCTGGACTTAATTTTAATGCTAAAGAGTTGCACTAGCAAGAGAAATACGTGGTGTTAGGATAGTTTTACACAATGAATCCTAAGAACAGCAAAGTATTTTACTTCCTCCACGCATCTGGTTGCTTGTTGGCGCGTGGCTGCCAATGGTATTTTTGGAAGGTGAGGGTCATAGTTGGAGAACAGTTGTTCAAAGCAGGCTCCAGACTCTGGGAGAATCCTCATTTTGAGACAGGGTGTACTGAGGAATTGCAGCCTGTTGGGATGTTTTGTACTGTGAGCAACTTTATGTCACTCACTTATCTCTGTTTTCTCCTCAGTTTGGGCAAATCACTTGCCATATTCTTCCCCCGAAACCAGGGACATCCCACTTTTGTCAGTTCCTACCCCGACCACG